ATAACCTAAATGTATTAAAGTGTTTCAATGGTATATATCTGATACCATTTGAATCAGATCCTAGAAAGGAAATGAAACTTTGATAAAAATGAATGATGCAAAACAAAAACAGATTGAATTTATCAGATATGAAGAATTGTTTCTCAAACAAACGCATGTATTTGTAATTGGTTTTACTGCTAATCAATAGAAAAGTTTTTGAAAATGCCGATGTTTTGTAATAAAAACATAATTATATACTATTATATATAAATAGTTATACAATTATATATAAATAGTTTTTTATTATATACAATTTGAGAATATTTGTAATTTTCTATTTATATAATAGATATCTACAATGAAGTTAAAACTTTCTAGTGAATTTTATAATGTAAGAAAAATGAAAATTATCGATTCTGAAGAACTAATACAGCGAGTTCTTTTATATTTCCTTATATTAATGAAAACGTAATATTATATTATAATTGAATAAAAATTCTGAACAAATAAGATCTTAGAACTTCATTTTCAATAAATAATAAACTTATAGAAATCCCATTCAATGAATTGTGATGAATATGTTTTCATCAATTTATTGACAGGTATTCTGAATCATATAAATTACGCTCGTTTGGTACAATTATTCAGTCACTCATTATACAAGCAGGAAAACGAGGTAAACATAATCTTTATCTCCCACTCTCTCTCACTCTCTCTCTCTCTCTCTCTCTCTCTCTCTCTCTCTCACTATCTCACTATCTCACTATCTCTTTCGTATTTAAAATTGAATGAATTACTGAGATGAGATACGCCAGCGATAGACACAAAAACTTAAACAAAGACGGCGAACAAATGATGCTGGGATGTATCGATCCCCTCTATCCTATTTGCGTGACGTCACGAAGGCGTCGTTGGTTGCAGCTCTGAGTGCATTTGAGGCACCCGCGCAAACTCGCGCCGCTCCCATTCATTCAGCACCGACCGATCGATGATATTTAAATGGACAACGACCTTCTTTAAGTCACGTATCTCATATTTAATATTTCAATTCGCAAAAGTCGATTATCGTGGACCATTAGAATCTAGAAGATGATTGATACCCTGCGATTATTTTCCGTACCTGAGATATTGAGTTGACGGAAAATATCACTAGTATTTGTAGAAAAAATATTTCTATTATTAACTCTTGATTTACACAGTTTCGAAAACAAAATTAGTAAAACATTGATAAATTTGAAGAACAAATGGCATCTACTTTCTTCGTGAATATTTACCAATACATTGGGTATATGACTATTTTATTACTAATTATACTCGCTTCTAAATACGATCTACTTCCCAGTTTTTTTTTACAAATAAGAAATGACATTATATAAGAAAAACATTTCCATTTCCATTAAATAAAGAATATATATGCATTGTTAATGGAACTAATAAATATATATATATATATATATATATATATATATATATATATATATTCAAATAAATTCATATAATTTCAATATAAATTCATTCAATATATTCAATATAAATTCAAATTTATTCAATCTATTTGTAATAAAGTTTTTATGCATAATTATAATGAGGAGTTGCGATGTTGATACTGAATTAATTTTTAATGTAATAAATTTATATATTTGTTATTTTAATTATATATTATATATATTTTGATTAAATCAAACAATCATTGATTAAATAAATTTGACAATTATTCAGTTCGTAAGAAAATTATGTAAAGATTATTATAAAAGTTCAATACTTATTATTCAATTAATGAGAAATACAATTTTTTCATCTAATAATAATAATATATATTACCTAATGTATAAGTAATTTTACTTTGTGTTATAGTTGAGTAAAAATCTATTATTAAAAACCAGATATAAATAATTTAAATTTTTTTAAATGTTAAAAGCGCAGTTGGATAATTTCAATCCCTTTTAAGGCAATACTCAAACATCGAGCTTAAGTATGCTAAACTAAATATTATAGATTTGATTCTCAACATATTAAATTTGTAGTAGACTTTCTGCATTTTGTTTATTATTTATACGCAATAACAAAATTTATTTATATTTAATTTAGCTGGAGAAAAAATGTGCATATTCTTATATAGAATTTTATTTGTATTTCGTAAGTGATTTAGCAATCTCATAATGAATTACATTTTCTTCTAACACACACTTAATTTTTTTCAATAATATTATTTACTAGGCGTCGACATCTCGGTTATATTTTATAGTGCAAAACCGTGTATTAACCCCGCGTCTTTGGTGACGAAGCGCGTGCAACGTCCAAGTATTCCATCTTCTCTACGTGCGAATAGAAGTAGAAACTTCTTATAAGATCGGTATTGTTTTAAATTGTACTCCTCAATAAATAAAAGAGCCGTACTCTTATGTAAATATATACTGTTATTACAATATGAACGTTAATTAATTTTACATTAAGAAAAACTCTATTTTGTTTTTTTTTTATCGTTTGTGTCTTCGTTGATAAGAAAATGATATAATTGAAAATATTGTACATTTATATAATTATCAATCAATAATACTTTCCATCTAGATGAAAAATAACATATTTATGTTATGTACCTAATTTTTTAAAAACAACTTCCATCTCATTAAAGATTTATTTTCCAAATGAATTTGATATTTTTATTTCATATAATTTTATGTAATAAGTTAATTCGATGTATTATATATTATATCATAAAATTTATATTAAATAATATATTAACTGCACTTATTTATGAAATTAAATATTCTTACTGTAAATCTGAGAGATTCATTTTAAATATAGTAAATATGTATGATTAAGGTAAATACTCTTATCGGATAAAATTTTATAAATTATATTGAAATAACTACAATATTTATTAAATATTTTTGTGATGAATTTAAAAAATATCTTTCTGATTTATAAATAAGAAAGATGATCTTCAGTCGAAACAATATCAAGAATCCATTGTATTATAAAAATACAGAAACCTGTTTTAAATATATATATGACATAAAGTAATACTTATGTCAGGAATCAAAATCAGCTAGATAAAGAATATGGTTCCGTTTTTTAAGCAAAAATATTTTATGATTTTATAATGCATATTATATACATATATTTTAATATCTATTACGATGTTTTGTCTTACTTCGGTTATCTTCTAAATAATTTTTCTTGTAATTAAAATTACATTTGATTGTAAATTAATTAAAGTATACAATGAAATATTACTAAAAATATATTAATATAAATTAAAGTTAACATGAATTATAATATAACTAAATAATAAAAACTGAAAAAAAATTCTGCAGAATTGTAACAGATTTTAAAAGTAACTATTTTCTAAAATAAATATATTTCATAAATAGAGGACATAATACTTTACTAAGTTTTGTAATTATAAAAAGACTTTGAGAAATGCAATTAATCATTAAAAATCGAAATAATGTATTTTTTTTTTGTAATTTATAATAATGTATTACAAAGTGCTTTTATATACTCAATTTATAAACTCGATTTATAAATACGATTTTTTGCTATAAATTAAAATGATAAATAATATTGGTATATAATAATGGTAAAATAATAAATAAAATTAATTTCTTCAATTTTCATAAAAATTTACTATTAAAGCTAAACTGTCATTTATACATAACTGCATATTACAATATAAAAGTACTAGTTCAATTGTTGTCCCTTTTCCATTATTTTTAATCAAGTTCTCCTCTTAAAATAGTTTGTTAGCTATATAAAATTTCTCACTTGATGGATGAATCTGTACTAGCTCAAATTTAATAAAAACTGGAGTACACTGAAAATCAAATTGTCTTCAATATTTTGTGAAATCATAAAAGGCGATACCAGAATTTTAGCGTCAAAGGTTATTGGTAACAACAAAAAGTGAGTGAAAACTAACACAGAGATACGAAGAACTCGTTTTTCTTAACACAAATTGAATGTATCATGTCAGCGATAACATGATTTTTTAATTATGAGTAAAAATCAACCAAAAGACTCAAGGCCGAAAAAAAACTTCCAGGCTACACAGTCAATAACTCCATTCACTTTATTATCTCGTTGAAAGTTTTTTTATGTTCCCCGCATGTATTTGTAGGAGCAGAACCTAATTTTATCATAAAATATTGAATTACACAAGTACATAATATTTTAAGAAACATTCTGAATGCGTGTTATTTCGCATATGAAATGCATTTTATTTAATACATTTTATTTGCTTTATATACTTATCATTGCTATTAATATTAAAGATAATTATATGTATCCTTTAAATTATTAATTATTATAAAATACAATTATTGTAATATTTCAACTTTTTAATGATACAAGTTTAACCTTGTATTCAAATCTGAGTTTCCAGCAATGTGTAATATTTATAATTAAAAAAGTAAAAGTAAATATTTCCAGATTAGATATTAATAGAGAATATTTTTTCAATATTTAACAGCTTATTGGAATGTCCATAAATTTTATTCAGTTTAATATCTTTCTTTAATATAATACTTTAATCTCCAAATAATTGAATTTATCGATTCTTTCAAGTGAATAATATAATAATTTTGAGCACAACCTTCGCTATTGTCTAAAGTTTCAAGTGAATATTTCAACAGAAGCCTGGAGATATCCAACTAATACTACGCACAATAGTAATCTTAATCCATTGCTGAGACCAAGGTAAATTTAGATTTTACACAAAACAAACAGTTTATAGTTTAATTATAATAATTTATTATTTTCAAGCAAAACGACAGTAATGTTAAATCGACCATATCCTATTAGTGCAGTATTTTGCAATATTAAATATATGCTCACAAACTTGTGTTTTTTGAAATGATAAATTATTTATTTGAATGTGTGCCAGCTTATAAATACAGTTAGCAAATACTTTTTCAATTTAAAGCCATATAATCAAAACAATTATTGATAATATATAATAGTTAATAAACAAAGGAAACAATGTAAAAATTAATATTTTATAAAAATATAATCCAAATATTGTCATTTTCATAGGGCTTAATCGTTACATAATTTCTTCTTCGTTATCATGGCATGATGAGGATTTATCCTTGATCTCATAGCCTTCTGCAACAAAAATTGAATTTTTGTCTATTCACTATTTATATTTGAATGTAATATTATATATATATAAAATTTGAGTTAAAATATAAAATTTTACAACAATTCGTACTGTATTAACATCATATTTATTTATATTTAATTTTAATTTTTAAACATTAATACTCTATGCAATATAAATTAACATTTTTAATGAATGGTAAAATAAAATATATAAGTTAGATATTTATAAATATTGATTTAAAAAATTCAATTGATAAATAAACTAATTAACATTGTATCATATTTAAGATATTTAAATTTGTTGAATTTTGGTGTTGTGAAAGAATGTATAGATAAATTATAATGATAGAGTGAAATTAATGTAATCTACAGATGAATAATTTTATTCATCTTTAATCAATGAAATAATCAACAAGTTAAAATTATTTTAAATATTAGTAGCTAATAACAAATAAAATAAATAAATATTTTTAATGACTTAATTTTTGTATATAAAAATTTACAATATACATATGTCTCTCATATTTCGATTGTTAATATATTTTGTAATTTGCTGTGTCTTTATCTGCATAATCATTTCATGTATCTTTACTTTTTTTATATTATACATACATTATATATTATATATACATTACGTATATTTATGATTTTATTATAATATTCGGCATTTAATATGCTAATAAATACTAATATGCCAAGAGTAATAATGATAAAACAATTCTGTAAATACATTTAATTTAAAATTGGTTAACAGACTTAATCCTGTAATAATTATTTGAATATTTTTCATATTTATTGGATATTCTTTATTACAACTAGTAAATTAAATCTATTATTCATGTACGAAAGCGTAAATGCTTTTTGTTATTTAATTAATAAATTAGTTTTTTATTTATCAAATTTTAATGCTCAGAACGAAGCATTTATAGTTACTGAAATTATTACTTTAAATAGAATTGCAAATTTATTAAATACAAAAAGTAATGATAGCTTTTATAACTTATATTTCCTTACTGATTGGTGCAGAGAAGGGTGTTTGGAATGTAGCAAACTCCGAAGGTACCAAAAGACTCAATATCCGTTTTTTGTCCTTGCGGACACTGGTCTGACGTCGTCTTTGCTCACGCTTGAACTTCGCTCGATTTCTGTTGACCAAATCAGCGAGTCTCAAACAATCGGGATATAAATATTTACTTCTATTTTACAACGTGAACTGCATTTTTGAAGAATAATTATGCATGGAATACTTTATAAAAATCTTAGTTTAAAGGCATTTTCGACGCCAAAGGAATAACAGTTTCTACTCGAGTAATGAATATATCTCAAACAACAAGATTATCTTCCTTTTAAAAATAGATATTCGATACAATTTATATGTTCTGAAAATATAACTTTTCACGTATTTTTACACATTTTTTCTATTTTTTATGATTGTCAGTGTGTATATATACTATTTCATCATGACCATAATTTTGTTGATTATTTGTATATTAAAATAATAAATAGTAATATTCCATACTGTCACAATTATATAGGCATTATTCCACAAACATAATTAAAACTCATAATAAAAATTGCAAATATTTTAAATTAAAAATTAATTAATATATTGCTATTTTAAGAACTCATTAATATTTAAATAAATAATGAATTCCTTTGCAATAATGTATTAGTACCTACAGTTTAATATATTTTTAATAATTAATGAATCTTACCATTATGACATAACATAAGAATAAATTCATTAAATACAATAAATATATGGAATAAGTATGTAGAATACAATTTTAAATGCGAGATTTTAAAATTAGTGAGTACATAACTAAGTTTATAATTAATTAATATAAATGTTTTATCATACACCAATTTACATGTTTTCTCATAAACTAAAATAAATGTTATTTTAATTAATTTATTAATATTCGTGCGTTTATTTTATATGAAATTTTTAATTAAAATATATTTAACATGCATATCGTTTGAAAATCAATTAAGAAATTAAAAAATAATAAAAATAAAAACTAAAATTAAGTACGTAAAAAACTTTCAGTGATTAATAAGATTTATTAAAATTAATAAGATACATCATTTAAACATGTTTATCGCAATATGTTATAAAAATAATAATATATTGATAAGAATTATCATTCTTATATATACAAATATTTCCTCAGATGTTATAAAACCAGAGTGGCGATAAATAAAAAGTATAATATAATATTATACACTTAGGATAAATGAGTCAATTGAAAATTGAATAAAATATCATATAAGGTCCCTAAATTTAAATATTGAATGACATCATAGTTAACATCATGCGGTAGACAAATATTAAAATAGAGAGTGACTTAATGGGTGTAATAAAGGTTATAAGATTTCAAAGAGTTCAGATTAATTTGAGATTATTTATTTTCATTAATTTAACCCTTATAGTACGACATTACTTTGGTATTGGATATTTCTCGATGACTCCAATTGAAAAATTTCATGCCTTAATGTGTCTTTATTTGAACACAGTCCTATATATTTGGATTATAATTTGATAAGTACCAATAAATAACGAGTGTATCAGTCATTTTAATAAATAATAGCATATTAAATTTTTTTCGTTTTGAAATTCAAGTGAATAGCACAAAAAGTAGAGGCACATGCAAAAATTTGCTAAGAAAACCGCGTGAATCATGAATAGCACGTGTAAAGTCAATTTTTCATTCATGGCTTCCGTCCAACCGCTTCTACACACAAATGGAAGCTTTTTTCCTATTGTGGACCAATTGTTTCTTTGGGTAACATGAAGTTCCGTTGCTCAATTATTGCTGCTTTCTTGCTTCATCTGTATTTTCTCACATTATTATTACAGACCAACGCGATTAAATTATGGCTGAAATATGTAATTTTTTTTTTTATTTGGCTATGTGTAAATTATTTGATGAAAGTACAATATTTATTAATGTCAGCAACAAGAACTCTTACTTTTTTGGTTTTTTATACAAATGGATATGAAAATTGAATATATGATGTTTTGTTGAATACGAAAATATCAAAAATATACTTTGACCATATAATTTAATGAATTATTATTATATTTAATTAATTATATAATTTATTCAAGTTATATTACAAATTTTTATTTTTCAATATTTACTATTCATCCATAATATAATACACATGTAATATGAAGATTATTTATAATTTTTCTATAATCCATATTTTATGAGAATTTTTTAAACATTGAATGTAAGGCACAAGGCAAACTTATAATAAAAATTTGTACGCTTTGTTTAATATATTTTACTACATTCTTAATTACTATATTCTTTTTGCATAATTACTATATTTTACTTTAAAATATTCAATTTTTTAAACTATAAATTTATATCATGTTTTAACAGAAATGAAATATAAAATAAGTTTGATGAAGAGTAGTTTGATAATGACATTATTATGATAATGTTATGTAATGAAAATTCATATGTATTATTTAAGCATCTATTGATAAGGTCTATTAAATTGAAATTCTGATTCAATTATCTTAACAATTCATATATAAATATTATGTAATGCTAGTGGTGTTAAAAATAGAACTATTATTTTATTGTCATATACGTGTATTTTCTACGAGTCGTTGAAGTCCTTATTAGCTCCTTATTATCCGTTTAATTCTACAAAATTTTACATCTCTTATCTGCTAACAAATTATAATCTAGTAAGAAATTATAGAATATATTAATGTAATTGTAGAACAGAATGTAATTGTAATTATATTAATGTAATTATAGAATACATAATTATAAATGTAATTTTAATATTTTCAATGTTATAAATTCAATTGTGTTTTTCAATATAAGTAATAAACTAGTAAATCTATACTTAATCATTTTATAATTTATCTGTAAATCAAATATTTTTTTAAATATCTGTATAAATAAATATATAAATATAAATAAAATTAAAAATTATATTTAATATATTTAAATATGCATTACAAATTAATAAGATGATACAGCCATATAGAAATATTATGAAATCAAAAACAAAAAATCTCATGGAGAAGCAATTTAATACAAAATTATATTAAAGTTATTATTTTAAGTTTAATTTTATATTTATTGTTATAATAATATAAGAATTGAATAAAGGTAATAGGCACTTTGAAAAGGAAATTATAAATAAAGTTGCTATAAATTCTTCGTAGAAACATCGCACATTACATTGGATTCTACATTTTGCGTCACCAACATTTTATATTATTTGTATCAATATGTTTAACTGATATAATACATTATTTGAAATAATTCCTTAAGTATTGTCATAATAGTAAATTATCATATAAGTATCATATAGTAAATTTATCATGTCTTCAAAAACGTAGGAAAACAGTATTTTGTATTTTCTTGAAATATAATAATAAAGACTTTCATGCTTATTGAGTTATTTTATATAATTTTATTATTGATATTAATTATTAATAGTTTCATGCTCAAAGATATATGTTAAAATAATATGTTTAAAAAGATTGAAATTATAAATATCTACTCTTTATTATTATAAAATGACTCTGAAAAGCTAAACATTTAATAATAAAATTATTATCATTTGCTCGAGTATTAATAAATTAACTGATGTATGTGACAAAACTGTGGTACAAAGTATAAAAATATAAGATGAAAATGAATGGGAAAAATTTAAATATTCGCGTCAGACTCTAACCTCACCTTACGACGCAAAATCCACCAATCAATATTCCTTTATACTCCCCTACTATTTTAATTTGCCTGTTAAGTTAGTATATCCGTAATAATAGAGGAAATTGTTATTATTTCTTAAAACGGCATGGTTTGTACTGATTGACAATATAGGTTATAAGATTTCATGAATTTTTTAAAGTAAATCTGAAATATCAAGAAATATGGAGAATCCTGTAATAATAGAGGAACAACAGCCTGAGAATATTATCGAGGAGGGAAAAGCGAAAATCATTTTGGATAAGAATAATATATTTTATAATCCTGTTCAGGAATTTAATAGAGATCTTAGCATTGCTATAATATCTCAATATAATAAGGAACTTGAACAAGGTAAAAAATATGATTCAGATCTTACGATTTTAGAGGCTCTCTCTGCAACAGGCTTACGGAGTATTAGATATGCCAAAGAAATACCAGGCATTAGTAAGATTATAGCGAATGATATTTCTATGAAAGCAGTGGACACGATTAAAAAAAATGTGATTTACAATGACGTTGAAAATATTGTGATACCAAATCAAGATGATGCAACTATGGTAATGTATAAAAGACGAAAGGAAAAATTTGATGTTATTGATTTAGATCCATATGGAAGTCCAACAATTTTCTTAGACGCAGCAGTACAAAGTCTTAAGGACAATGGTCTTCTAATGGTCACTGCTACTGACATGGCAGTCCTAGCTGGAAGTTCCCCAGAAACATGTTATGTAAAATATGGTGCTGTTTCAATGAAATTCAAAGCGTGTCATGAAATGGCTTTACGAATTTTATTACAAAATATAGCCAGTCATGCTGCTCGCTATGGCAGAGTTATCACTCCACTGCTTTCTATTAGTGCCGATTTTTACATCAGAGTATTTGTTAAAATTCGGACTAGTCTAGCAGCTTGTAAACAAAATACAAGTAATTTAGGGTTTGTGTACCAATGTACAGGATGTGAATGTTTCAGTATTCAACCATTAGGATGTATGAATTCAAAAAATATGCACAAATTCCCACGTGTACCTGTTGTTGATAAGGTGTGTGTTTTTTGTAAACATAATCATCGTATGGGTGGGCCGATATGGATAGGTAGTTTACACGATAAGGTGTTTATTAATAATATTATATCTAATATTGAAAACGAAGAATATAAAAATTTACAAAAATTGAATACTATTAAGAGAATACAAGGTATTCTACATGTTGTAAAAGAAGAACTTGAAGTGCCATTATATTATCAAGTTAACCGATTGATGTCTATAATAAAATGTCATGTACCACCTATGGTACTGTTTCGATCCGCATTGCTTAATGCTGGATATAAAGTATCATATTCACATGCATGTAAAACATCTGTTAAAACTGATGCGCCAAATCAAGTAATTTGGGATATAGTAAGAGCTTGGGAAAAATTAAATCCAGTGAAGCGAGAAAAGTTTGATGTATGTAGTGCAGGACTGGCAATACTCAATTCTGAAATAATAACTAATATTTCTTTTAAAAAACATCCCGATGCAATACCATTTTCAATTCAAAAACATCTAATGCGATTTCAAATGAATCCAAGTTCTCATTGGGGCCCAGGAACAAAATCTACTGCAATGATTAAAAATGAACACATTCTGAAAAAGAAAATGAATCAAAATAAGAAAAAAAGAAAGAACGATATAATTAATGAAAAGTTGAATGCAGAAAAGAAACGTAACATCTTAGAAGAGGGCGTTTCTGTAGAAAACTAAAGGAAAATTTTAATTCTTTGAACAAAAATAAACTCTTAAATAGAATTTTAATATACTGAATATTTTTATAATTTTTTAATAGGTTAAAAATTATTTAAATCAAACAGCTAAAATTACATAAATGAAAATTGAGATTTTAAATCTCTTAACTATTATATAATTTAATCGTATTTTTAATTCATTAGTTTCTTATTGTTGTTAAATTATTAGTACTAAATTTGTACTGTTATGTACTAAAAACTTATCTATAATAAAGCATTATAAATATTCCATTATTCTTTTTATTAATTTATTAATAATATTAACTTATTTTATCTTCAAATAATAAATTAAATTGGTATACTTTCATTCTAAATAATAAGGATGATTATTTGTATATAAAAATAAAATAATTTTAATTTTAGGAAAAATATTCAATTATATTAAAACTTAATTTTATTTTCCAAAAATTTTTTGTTAGGTAATTGTGGAAATGAATTTTTAAATAAATTAATGAATTCAAATATTCATAAAGTAGAATGTAAGGTGAAATATAAACTTTTGATAGTATTTTCATGATTCCAGTTAATAATTCAGATAAAATGATTTAAAATACTAATTGTGAGAAAATTTTTTTTGTTGGAAAAAATAAAAAATAGAAAAATAAGATGTTTCCGTTATTATGTTTAGAGATTCACCAGAATATCGAAAAAAAATGTGAACTTGGAAAAGTGATAGATCTAAGAAAAATTTATTTAATTGTACAACCTAGATTTACTTAACATTTAATGTATATATAAACTTCATAAAAATTTTGTAATGTTTTAAAAATTTTATTAGATTATTATTGCTCTTTGCATCTAAAATATAAAACTGTGAAATCATAAAACATTGACATTAAATGGCATAACTGGCGAAATAAGAATTTTTGAATATCGCTTTTAAAATAAATCTTTTACACTTTATTCGACTTTGAATTTTATATGATTATGGTTTTAGGTATAAATAAACATAAAATATAAATAATTTCAAATGAATAAAAAAATTAATATATTAAACCAAACATGGATCTTATGAATATTAAAAAAAAGAATATAATTAAAAAATATTTAAACAAGTAAAATATCTATTCGAATTTTATCTTTCACACTTGCAAAAACAAGTTTTCCTAGTTATTTTTAAGAATCATAAATCAGTTGAAATGATAAGAATTAATTTTAATTCAAAAGCAGTATAGTTAACTTTATGATTCTAATATGTACGTTATAATTCTGAATTTGATAAAAAATATTTATAGGAAACTGGATTCAGTGAAACGTATTGGAAATCATTAACAAACAAAACACTGTAGAGGAAAAATTAATAAATAGGTATTAAAATATAGCGTTAAATTGATATTTTTAATTCATTCGATTATTAATTTTAATAAAGAACTTTAAAATGTATTAAAAACCATAACATATGGAAATATTATTGTAATTATATAGGGTATTGTTTAATTACAAATTAAAATCCTCATATCAATTAAAAACCAAAATAATTTCTTGAAAACTTATCATTAAATTTATTTATATTTAAATAACAGAATGCATTTTGTTGTCCTTTAAATCGAAATTTGAGTGATGAAAAATAACTAAAATTTTAAAAAACATGTTTTAAAACAATCAGTAAAAATATACAAAATAATAAAAATTAACTGAAAACAATGTTTAAATTTATCCTAGTTTCATAGTTTCATACATTTTGTACATAAAAAATGTGTTTTAAATTCCCACAAACATTTCATTTTTAAACAATCATTTGCATTAAATATTTCCCCAAATTGTTTTCAATCAAATTAGTCAATAATTCTCTTAAACATCAAATGAGCTGATACGTATAGTTTAGATTTACAAGACTATTCAAAATATTAATTTATATTTATTATATAAAAATCCCTTTAATATTGTTTTATAAATTTAATTATAATATGTTCTATTGAATATATTTAACATTTGAAATAAATTTCCCAAGAATTATATTCAAATAACTTACATGAAAATATATTTAATTCGTAATATGTATATAATAAAGCAAAAATTTTAATTATTCAATGTCATTAATTATTTTTCATTTTTATATTAAATACCAAATTTTGAAAATATCACTGATGTTTAAAATGTTAAATACTTAATATAGCTTCAAAATAAATCATTAAATCTCGTTACACTTCTTTAACATTCTAAAGAATTTATTGTTCTGATATCAATTAATTTACACTAACTTAGAAATTTCCATTTATTTAATGCGTACAAGGCTAACTTTTAGATTCATAGAATAAAAAGAATATATTCATTATTCTTAAATTTGTATGAAAAACTTTCTAGTGAATTAATTCTTTGACTAACAACTGATCTTATCAAGTATTATAATAATTTAACATATTTTTTATTTAAACAAATAATTTTTGATACTTTATTAAATTTATTATTATAAAATTATTGAATTTATTTGAATTTTATGTAATATTCATTATAATTTTTTATTTTTTAAATGTAAAATAAAACTTTTGAAACTAGCAAATGATATCAGATTAGATTTAGAAAGAACAAAGTTATGTAATATAACATTTCAGCCTTAAAAAGATATTAAACACCAACGTTGATAATAGAAATCATAAATATGTAATATTATACTAAATTTAATAAACGAATTGTAATATATAATTATTGGAAATACTAAGGATTAATAAATTATTTATCACATTCAATAAGTTCTTTTTTAAATACTATTATGAGCATACATCTCTTCATCAGATTATGATAGTATATAATTATATAATTAACTAATAATTAATTTACAAAAATACAAATCGATATATTTTAATTATTGTTTTGTCATATTCAGTAAGAAATTTAATTTATATAATACAATGGAATTTTCATTCTCAACTTATTTTACAATAATTATTTTACTAAATCATATTTAACTAATAAAGCAATAGTTTTTAATATTATTCAGTTAATATTTATTTGAATTTGTAATTATATTGCTTAACTGAAATTGAAAATATTTTTATTTTCTATTATAACGAATTCAAATTTAAACTTAATTTGTTAAAATACTGAAAAATAATAAAGGAACAAACTTAGTAAATTATTAAATTCCATGTTTATAATTGTATTTTTTAATCATAGAGATTCCTTTACAACTATTACTGATATATATATATTAAAAACAATGTTTTACTTATGATCTTGAATAAGTATAAAATAGTAATGAATTATGAATTGAATTACAAGAACAAAAATAATTAAAAGTCTAAATTATAATATTTTAAGTACTTTGAAAAAAATTGAATTTGCGTAATAAGTAATACCTAATTATTTATTTTAATATATCATATAAAATTAAAAAATTTTAATCCACAATTCATATAAGATTTAGTATAATTAAAATATACAAAATATTTGTAAGCGTCAATTTAATATATCAAGCGATGAAAACGTTTGATAAATTCAACGTCAAAACTGCCGCCGAAAGACGCAAAACCGTTTAGTTTACAATCTCTCTTGTATGTAAGTTCAACCATCTTCCCTTAGTCAATACGATTATAGTTAATTGCATTAGCGTGAATCAATCTAATACTTTGCGTACGTGCAAAGCTGTGAGTGAGAAAAAGCCCCCCCCCTCCAACCAACAAAGCTTAACACCATGACAAAGCACTGCTAACGAATACTTGTTCCAACGTATTTCTAAATTGTCGGCAGGCATTTCTTATATTATTAGAACTTTTAATTGCATTTGATGAACGCATACACGTAACTGTTTAAGAGCTAATCCCTTTAAGCGGTTCCAATCTTAGCAGTTTTAATTTTCACATCAGAGCTAAACAAGAATCGTATCATATTTAATATTCGGTCAGATTTATTTAAAATATTAATTATATAAAATAGGCCATAATGAAATAATTATACATGTAAATATACATTCATGAATACGATATGTTTTATTCCCCTTAGGTCTATGTAATTGTATAATTTATTTAATATTATTTTTAAACGAATATAAGTGAAAAAGAAAATGAAAATATCTATTATTCTCAAATTCTATATTACATATTTAGAAATTGAAATGCTTCAAGTATGTTTATAAAACTTATTAGGTCATTGTGGAAATTTTATTGAGCGACAAACGTTAAACTACTTGTATATGGTTTCAACTTTACCTATTAACACTCTGGATTATTGAATTCTGAGATTCGTTACTGAAGCCACAAATTCTTAAGTCGATTTCCGTAATTGCAGTGCAAGACTTTACAGCTGCTACGAAGGCTTCTCCAACTATAAGAATTTTAGTACATATAACTTATGTTATATAGCTGAAAAGAAATGATTCGGAACATTGACATTTTCTCTCTTCTCTTTTTTGTTTTTTTTTTTAATTAATTGCAAAGTAAGGAAATACAAATATATATTATTACAAATAATTGATGATAGAAAAAGTTATTGAGAATGTTTGAAAATTATTCAAATATTTTATTCCAATTAAGAAATTAAAAACTACTTATGATAGCAAAAAATACACGTAAAAAGTAATGTAAGTGCATCTTAAAGTAAAAAGAGGAAAAACACTGACTTCAATACAGAAATCAAAAAGCAAGAAAAGGATAATCGGCAGCAAGTGAGTTGAAAATTTCTTTGGTAAAAGACATGTATCAAACTGAAAATGAAGCTTACCGATCGTTCCAAATTCGTTGTTAGTACAGTCGAACTGGAGGTTGGTAAACTGGGTATGGCCAGAGGCCAAAACTTCGGCCATTTTCATTCCGCCATCTGAGCCGATGCCACAGCAACTGATGTTTAGGTACTCGAGTTTGGCGTATCTCAAAAGTACTGCTAGCCAAAGTGATTTCATCGAATTTAACAACAATAAATAAATAAATGATGCGGATACATATCAACTACTATGCTGCAATGTTCGTCGTATAGTAAAGAAAAAAGTAGCAATGCAGATATTTACTTGACGAAGAATTTCTTAGTTTCGAGATACAAGGATAATATTTTTAATATCAATTATTTATTTTAAATGATCAACTTTGACACTTCAAGAAACTGAAAAATTGTTAGAACACTTAATGAAATTATTGTGCTGTCTAATTAATTAGTTGTTACAAGATAATCCCGTGATAGGTGCCGATAATACTCTTTCCACTTTGCAAAAGGTTTTTCTTAGATTACCCGTGTAAGTGAGATTATTTTGTTACATATCGCTTGGTTTGACACATCGACTTCGCAATTAGAAATATTAATTAGAAAAAAGTACGCTCACGTGCAGCAAGATGGTCGGCTCCTTCGTCGCCAATAGGGTTAAATTTAAGATCCAGCCTCCTAATTCCCATAAAATTCGTGTCACTGAGGATGAGGCCATGTACGATACCCGCTAGACCTTCGGATCCAATTTTGTTATTGCTTAAGCTCAAACTCATAAGCTCACTGTTGGTATTCCGCTGAATCAGAAATGCACTGACAGCCAGTGCGCCCTGGTTTTCCAATTTGCAATGCGAGAAATCAATCTCGCGGATCTGGATGAATGATAAAATGATATTAAGCCACACTCACTTGGGTTTACAGCTGGATATTTTATTTAAGACAGTTAGTAATATTATAGTAAATTCATATTACTTCATCTGTTTGTAGTATCAAGAAATCTATAAACACAGAATAAAGAATTTATGACATTATTTTTAATTGTTGAATAAGTTAAAAATATGTTAAAAATAAAAGTCAACGATATTTTGTGATTAGAATGTTTAAAATTTAAAGTCTCTTGATTAAAATAAGCTACTTTTCTGTAAAAAATTTATAAAATTAATTTTTTCTTAAACTCTTCATAAACTTGCTCATCTTGAAAAATAAATCTACATTGCGTGTTAAAGTCGTTGATTTTTTAGGAATATTTCTTATGCTGCTAGCTTATTGTTGGCTATGTTCTTTTAATAAACTACCGGTGGTAGATATTTGCTCAAATCATTACTATAAATTTTGTAGTTAGAATACGTCTTTAACGGTTCATTTAATAAAATTTTCGATGAACCAATTTTTTAATGCAGTATAAATTAATATGAGAATTAATTTTTATAACATAAAATCGACTTAAAATGGAAATTAAAACAATGAAAACTGATAAAATTCTTTATTTCTATCTACTTATTATCAAATTAATGAATTACTTACCGATTATGCATTATATGAATTGACAACTATTATAAATGATAGAAGCATTTTTTTTTATTAATGCAGTCTTAATATAATCAATTTTGATAAACTTCAAAGTAAGGTAACATGAAATAAATTACTGAGAAAATAATCATTTTTTCATTTTTACTTAACAACAAAAGGATTTAATAGGAACATATATCTCATATAAAAAATATACTAAAAAATAAAGAATATTTTAGTGTCAATAAAGAGTTTCCATTCAGTTCGCCGTATTATTTAAATACTTTATTCTTAATAGACTTTTAAAAGACAAATGCATTTCTTCAGAATATTTAATCTTTAAATCTATATCTTTTAAAAAATCTTGATATTTCAAAAATTTATGAAAAAAGTATTTAAAATCTAGATTAAACATTAAAAAAAATATTATTAGAAATTCACTAATAGGAATAAGAAAAGTTGTATTTTTGTCAGTACCTAAAGAACTGTACTCAAGCAAGAAAAAAAGGAAGAAAAATGATCCTAATCAAAACAATTTATGTAGCGCTATTGTATAATGACGCATGGACGAGCAGTTTATTATTATCGTCACTACATACCCGCTATAGTCGCACGTGTAGAAGTTTCATTGAATATGTCGGATACGCAGAGCTAGAATCTTATGGCGTGCCTTTGCCGGAATATTTTTGGAGTTTCACTGATTATTTGTTGATTCGCGGGTTCGCGAAAGTATACAACCAATTCACGACGATCTCAAAATGAAAAACCGACATGTCCCAATAAGCTATATAATTTTTATAAATTGAATTTAATTGAATTGAAAATGAATTGATATTTTAAGTGGGAATATGTAATATGTAATAATGTAATATATTCTTAGGTTAGGCATTGATTATAATAAAATACAATAAATTTATCTAATACAGATTGTCTATATTTGAGCGACTGACGAGCATAATTGAAAGTTGAAATAGTCGTGGCTTTAATAGTAGAAAACTTTAGTGCAAAAAATTAAAAAAAAGAAAAGAAGAAGGAAAACATTTGAAAATAAGAAAAAAAGAATCAACAAAATAGATCAGAAATGAATTTATCATAAACGCTATTTTAGTATTCAAGTGTTTTATAGAGTTTGAAACTGTTTTTTTTTTTATTACAGGTTAAAATTTAAATGATCAACTTTAAATGTTTTTTATTATAGTTTCTGTTTTATAGTCTTCATTTGTATTAAAATATCTATAGATTTAGCTACAACTTCATTATTTTTATCTAATTCTAATTTTACATGTGATTTAACAAAAGATTTCAGACTTAAGATACTCAATTAAATGAATCGATAATTTGCTTTACTAATTCTTGGAATTATTATTTTTAAATATTTTAAATGTTACTAATTTATATCAATTTAATTATTATGCTGAAATAGTAAATTTTTGCAAGTTTTTCATATCTAACCGATTTAACAATACTGATAATTTACTTAAAAATTTTAGAACAATTTAAATATTTTTTATTTAAAAGTACAAAATAGATTTATCTAGTAAAAATATGTTAACTAATTTCGAATAAAATTGATCTATGTATGTACTAGATTTTAAAAACAATTTTTAATAGTACCTACGTCAATTTTTAAAAAACATTAGCTTATCTTAAGTGACATAGTTTATCATATCAAGAAGTTAATTATATTATTAAAAATAATTGAAAAGTATATTTTAATTTTTTTTACCACAAAAAAAAAGTAATTTTCATGTTACAAGCACTAAAAACAATGTAGGGTGATATTTATATCTTGACTTTATAAAGATATCTTATTTTATCCTATACAATCTTACAATAATTTGTTCAAATTGAAAAGATATTTTTGAAAAGATGAAATTATAAATTAATGCTCTAATTGAGCATTGAAATGTACTACTTATAAACTTTCAAGTGCGTCCCGTAAACTTTCCCATTCGAAACTTACTAAACGAAACCGCATAAATTACTTTACAATGTACTTTACCCTTAATAATAGAAATTTCACGGAAACTTTGTATGATGAGATAAATTTCTTATCTAAAGTGTAACTCTGCATAATTTCTAATTTTACTTAGATTTCAGGAACCTAACGAAAGTCACCAAAATAATTCAAAAGAAACAATTCTTCCAAATCTTAATCACGCATAATCTATAATATTTAAGATATTATATCTATAGATTTCTATCTATAGATTCAAAAATTTCTAAATTAATAAAATGATTGACTTACAGCCGTAATTTATCCTATGTCACGCTATTGTTATATATTTCATAGGTTAATATTTAGTAATAGATTTACATCTATTGGCTAAGTATGTAAACTTTCCAATATCTCATGGATTCTGTGCTCAATTAAGTAATATAATTTGTGATAGACGCAAGCGAGAGATCGATCGATTGATTTTCAATTGCTATCAATAGTTTCTTCGTCGGAAAAATCAATGTAATTAAAAAAAAAACGATATTCCTAACACCGTAACTTTAAATTAATATAATTATAAGCAAAATAAATTTTATAATGAAAAAATTCATAAATTTCTGTACAGGAATCATCCTATTAAATTGTAAAACAATATGGGTTAATATAAGAGATGTAAAACGATTTTCGTATACATACAGTATTATTGACGATGAGTCCCCGGAGAATCGCCCCCACTCTTGGCCTAGTCAAATTACTCCTAGTAAGGCTAAATTTGATGAGATTGTTGAGCTCTTTTACACCTTGACCGATTTTCAAGCTGTCATCTATGGAAAATCTTTAAAAAAAAAAAACGGGCATTTATCTCATTAGTTACTAGTTGTAATTTAAATGGTATTAAGTCGCAATGCTAAACGTTGTATTATTTAAATTAACTCTTATTTCTTATTTGACGTAAAATAACTTGTTTTCATCCGTGAATAATTTCAGTATTTATATATTTCTCGTTCTGTATTTAATTAATATTCATTGTGTATAGAGAAAATCAGAAAATTGCTTTTAATCTATTTATATATTTAATTGATATTCAAAATTTATTCTAAAAAATATATAATTTTTTATATATTGTATATAACAATAATATACAAAAATAATTAAAAGAGTAATGTATACAAAAATATGGGATAAAATTACAAATTATGTTATACGATGTAGTAGCGAATGGTGTATTTTTATAAAATTCAAAAAACAAAGAACCGATATATTCAAAATATATTGATCCATTAGACTTATTTCATTTTAGAAGATAATTGAATTATTGCATGTTAAACTCGGGTAAACGTTAAATTAGAATTAAAATACAAATTTATTATTTCTAAAAAACTTATAGATATATGAATTAATTTTATCTATTCGAATATTTTTATTAATTTTTCTAATTCTTGAATGATCTGTAACTATATATTTTAAGTAACGAAAAGGAAATACTTTTATTATCGATGTGCTTTGACAATACTACCAATTTATAAAATAAATATACTCTTATTAATTATATGTGCACTTATAAAGCTTTTTGACATGCATCGTTAACAAGATATCAGTTATGCGTATTATTTTGTATACAATTTAATTATAGAAATTATATAATAATTAATAAAATATTAAGTATTTGAATTTTGTTTATCTAATAGAAGATGAAATGAAACATAATTTTATTAAATATTATTTTCAATTTATCAATTAAATACTTAATAACTTGACATTATGAATATACAAACATATTCTATCCACACTATACTTTAATGTAATTAGCAAATAATAATTGAAACATTCTCATAATGATCTAAATCTATTCTACGCTAGCCGCACTATATTAGTTGAAATTAAAGTGCCGACAACCTTACTTAAAATACGGATTTATTTAATCAATATCAATTATAGTAACAAATAAAAGGTGTAAATATGGATAAGGCGCGAATGCAGTTTTTGTTATCGAACTAAAAACAGCTGTTCCACATTTGGATGGGAGAGTCACGCCCCTGTTTATTTACAAATACAGAATTTGTCGTGCGCCTCAGAACTCTCAGCAAATTGAAATGTTATCTATATTATTATATTTATTTCGAATTAGCTTTCGGAATAGGTTATTATATTATCATCAAAATGGAAATCCCGATTTTTATCAATTTAGTATTATATTATTTGATAATTTGATCTGGCTTTGCTCGTTAAGAACAAGTTTCAACTAGTAGTATTTGTAACAAACTTGAGTTTCAAATAAACCACGATAATTTAAAAATTTAATTATTTTCTAGCTTCTTTACTTTCTCCTATTATTTCTTTTATATATAATTAAAACATGATAAAAAATTTAATCTTTTAATTTTCACTTTTGATCTTTCTAGTTTAATTACAAAAATCTTACACAAAAATGCATTTTACACTAATTGAATGAAATTCCTATTCCAAGTTATAAATAACTATTTTTTAATAAAATAATATTCTATTTATTTACAGACATACTAAATAAAAAAATTAATAAAAAAGGAGAGAGCATTTCTTATAAATTCTATATAAAACATGAAAATATTTACATTTTCATCTTAAAATTAGGTTATAATTTATAAATACTTTGAGAAAAAAAAATCAATTCATAATTCAAAATGTATTCAGAATATGAAAAATTCTTCAATCATAAAAAGTTGTATTGTGTATTTTATAAAAGTTGCTAGTTTCTTCTTTATTTTTCAATCAAGTTTTCTACTTAGAAATATATATCTCTATTGAGTTCAATTAAATAACATAGCATTTTTAATTTAATGATATGAAACGAGCAAATATAAATAATACGATATAGTAATCTGTTATGCAAAGTCAACTTGGCCCAGGAAAAATCTTATTAATTCTATTGTATATAAAGTATATAAACAGTAAAATTTATTCAGAATTTATAATTATAAATAGGAAAAGTATCTATTTATAGCGATGCAGTAACACGATACTTCATTATATACTGTATATTGGCTCAATTATTTTTACACTATGATAAATGCATTATACTAATTTTAATGAAAAAAAAAATGTGTAACAATATTATAACCCAAATATTTCATCATAAAGATTATAATTTTTAATTGTAACTAACGGATACTCCAACCAAAAAATTTTCTCTCTTCATTGTATAAAATCATATAGGTATAATTTTCTTATTTTTACAATATATTACAATACACGTACAAATATACATTGCAAGTTAAATATAACACGAAATTTTTAACTTGAAAGTACCTATAGTAATTAATCAGATAATAAAGTTCGTCCACCAATAGCAATAAATTAAAAATTGATAACATACTCTAAAAATATGCACATCAAAATTAAAACGATTTCAACTACATATTTAAGAACTATAGATTCGCAGATACTCTATGTTTGCTATTTATATAGATACGAAGGTACACAGAAATATATCACTTTAAAATAGTGTTCTCAGCATCATGTAACTTTGTCATATATACATTCTTTCATGTGTGTGTGTGTGTGTGTGTGTGCGCGCGCGTGTGTGTATGTGTGTGTGTGTGTGTGTCTGTGTCTGTGTCTGTGTGTGTGTGTGTGTGTATTTATATGCGATAATTATATTGTAAACAATATGAAAATTGTCAATTAGAATACTAAACATATTTAGTAATATAAAAAAAGATGCTCACTCGAAGTCTTTCAAATCGAAGTTATCTTTCAAATGTATTACACCGATGTTTATGTAAATTTCCTGCAGATTAGGTAGTTTTTGTAAGATTAAATCCATAGGTATGTGATGGAATTCTTCATTTAAATAAATTGGAGATGGATTTTTATGATCATCATTGATGTGCTTGATAACTAGAGACCTACGGAGACACATTGATAAATACAGGGTTAAATATACGCAATATTTATTATGCACAATCAAGATAAATCTAGTATTAATATATGAACTTCCAATAAAATAGCTATTTGAGATGATTATTATAATGTTAAATTTTATATATGTATATATATATATATATATATATATATATCAATACGAAGCATACAGTAACATTTAAACATTGATAAATATATTATATTTACTATTATGAAATTTATATTATATACATTGAGTTTCTAATATACAATGGTTTCTTATACTTTAACGTATGAGCCAAAAAATCTGGAGTATTAGTGCAACTCTTGAATTTTCAGGCTTTGATCGTTAATTGTTAATAAAAGTTTCATACTAAAATTTTGAGATTTGAAAATAAAGTACTTTCGACTTGCATTAAAACAGAATGAAAATGTGTTTAAAAGCTGAATTAATAAATATATTTAATAAGTAAATTAAGTACAAGTACTATTTAAATAATTGTAATAAACACTTTTATGGAATATTTTGTGAATATATTTTAGTTTAATTTAGTTTGATCATTACTTAAATCATAATTTATTTATCATTTTATTCATCATCCTATTTACCATTAACTCTTAAATTTATAAAGAAATTATAAAATAATTTTAAAGTAATATTAAGTTTTTACGCTTCAATTTACTGTAAATCAATCTATTAATTTACAAATATTTTATACTTTATTGCATAGTTATTGAAATCTTATTTATATTTTCCTTCTTGCTTTAATAAGAATGAAGTTACTGTGGCCTGTTTTTCTTTACAATTTGATGTATATTTTATTTATCTAATTGGCATCTTGTTCAAATTATTATGAAATGCTTAAACATACGATCTGTAATACATTATATTGAATTTTATCTTTATCCAAGATAAATATAAATAAGTAAAATATTTAATTTATTCTTCTTCTAATCGTGCCTTGTGAAATAGGTATTTTATTTTGTCTCATTTATCCAAATGCGTGATTATTATTAATTTATTTCTAATAGTTATCATATTTTTAAAAAAAAACAAAAAACAAAAATTATAATAATTAGGAAATGTAGAATGTATAATAAAGTATAATAAAAACTAATATGAAATGAAGAATAATTATATATTTGATTACGATCCAATTAGACTATGTTAAATTGTAAGTAAATTATTTTATTCAAAACTTTAAGAATTCTTATGTAACTAAAAGTAGAACAAACTTGTATTCAATTTCCTATACAAATTTTCTTACGCATGAGAAACTTCTGCAAGTTTAATTTGTATATTTGTAATTACAATAGATAATTGAAAATCGAGAATATGGTTTGTCAGAAGTTTTAACATTACTTGAACAATTTCAGTTCAGACTGAAATTAAATTCGATTAAATTATCAACCAAACCTTAGACAATGAATTAAAGAAATTTAATAATTCTAATATTTTTTTTTGTTTTTTGTTTTTAATTTTTTAATTCAATGATTATACTAAAAACAAAATTTTCAGGAAATTATTAGACAGAAATAGTATCTGCTGAATATTATAGCTTATTAAGTTTATCAATACTTCTAAAAAAATTCATTAGTGACTTCACTTAGTGTATTTTATCAAAGACTATCAATTTTATAAACGTTATATGAAAATTTTACTAACATATATGTGTTATATCTGCCTTTATTGAACAATTTCAGTAGATTATTGGAACGGATTATAGTTAATTTATTCTTTTGTAAACAAAATAAATTTGAAATGGAATGTATTGTTTAATGTCATCATCACTTTCAATTTATATAAATACCAATAATTTTATATAAATATATTATCTAATAGATATCTTATCTAAAAATAATTTGTTGGAAGAACTATTCCTAATTAATAATAATGTTCGATTTAATTTAAGCATTAAAAAATACGTGCAATCTAAAGGGCAGCCTTTTGGAGTCAAAGTTTTAAATTTAGTAATTACTTTTTAATTAATTACGAAACCGTAATACTAAACTATTCAACAAACATTAATTTTTTTCATTAATTTTTTAACAATGCCAAAAATGTTTTTTTAAAAATCAGCCTGTAGAAAATATTAGAAAATGTTTAGAATGAGGTCAAAATAAGTACAGAAAATCGAGGTTTCATTAGCCACAAAATACTTAAATTTTAACAGATTGAATCCTTATACGTAGGCAATCGCATTGGTTTTATGGTCTTGCCCGTCCTAATAACACTAAATGCAATATTAACGGAAAAATGCAAACACGAAGGTGATTGTTTAGAATGGTTGGCTTGGGCGAGGCCCACTTTCCGTGCCCTGCCTTATTTGAGGTGCATGAAATGTTAATATCTACATTAAAATACAAGTATATGAGCAAAAATATGCACTTTAAATAATATATATATATTTCAGCATTTGCCGTTAATCAGCTCAGCTAATTGGATATAATAAATGATATTGTAAAGTCAGTTAACTTTTCTTTTTTATATCCTTCATAATACTTTCGTTTGCTCGATATGGCTGTCATAATGAAGAATAAGACTAAGGCAATGTACCAGAGTAGGAAAAGGGGAAAATATCAATTAGCGCCTTTACTCAATTGGGGTTCTGCACTTGTATGTTAAATGGTAAAAAAATTTCTCCAAATAAATGTATTTTATCTTTAAATAAACATATTTGAAATAATTTATTTAATGGACACATAATTAATGTGCTTATAGAAAATTAAAAATTCTAATGTTTTTTTTTACATTTTTTATGAAAATAGATGATGTTCTACGTAGGTACATAATTTTTTTAAATAGAACTTAACGAAATTATTAATATATAAAATTGAAAACATTTTTATATCTTTGCAAAATTAAGAAATTTAATATTCATTTAATTATGGACTGCATTTCGATTTAATTTACATTCTTATTTCTAGAAACTTTTATAATGTAAGATACATTGAAAAAACTGGATGCTGAAAAAATGTACATATATTTCAGTTACATTATTAATGAGATACTGAGTTTTGTATTATAATTATTAATGCTTTTAACTATAGAATTACATATTAGTGTATAGGATGAATGTAGTAGTATATTACTTATGTTTACAGTGTGTGTTATTATAAGTCTTTCTATTTAAAGTTCAGAATATTAGATAATAAAAAATTCACACTGTCAAATTCAAATATATTCAAATTTGTATTTTTATTACATTTAAGAAAAATTTAGATATAAAATTATAAAAAATTTTATTTTAAATATTATATTTTAGATTATTAGTGACTTTATATTTTATATTTCGTTTAAAAAGCTCGTTTACAGACTTTGTATAAAAAATAATAAATTTTATATATTTTAATATTGATTCAAATATTTAATTTTTTACTTTTATAATAATCATAATGAATAATCGAAGTGTTATTTCGAGCTAACAAAAATATTCAGTTTATATATAATAAATTGTAATTTTTATTGTAAATTGATTTTAACAATATTTAATAATAAATTAATAAATATGTTATGTTAAATAATACTAGTCGATCTTGCTTTCAATACGTATAATAAAGATACAATATTGAAAGTGCAAATAATTAATTTCGACATCTCTTTTTTTGGATGAATACTCTTTCGAATAGTATGTATATAGTATTATAATATTCAGTATGCTTTTTTGTTCGTAGTGATATGTTATTCACAGGAAAATATGGGAAATAATGATGTGTAATAAAGTATTGTATGGAAGTATATTACCATAGTATTGTAGTATATCCTGCTTATTGAGTATAAATCAAAGATTATTAATTAAATAATTGTGTAATTCTATTATTCTAGCAAAAGAAATACTATAAGCTATATAATACGTTTAAAGTTATTAAATATGATAAAAATCTATACGTATAGAAATCTAAATTCTATATGTATGAGATTTAAGAACTTTTAACTCTAAATTTATTTTATTTTTTTTCTTTATTTTTTTTCCAAGAAAGTTAGACATAGCTATAGAATAAATATTAATGTAAAAGTAAAATAATTCCTATACTATAACGGCCATTAAAATACACTGAATGTATCTATGTATATATAATGTATATGTATGCACATCCTACATAATATTCAAGTGTTCGGCAAATAATTAATTGAATTTAACATATAAAAATATGCAAATTATATTTTGTACAACCGAGATTCAAGAAGCCCTAGAGCTATTCAAATAATGCTGAAAAAAATCACCTAATCGAAGCTCTTTATCATCGACCCTCAAGGCATCATTTCGACTAAGTTTAAAAGAAAAATAAAAAAAGAGAAGAGTCTCGGTTATGAAAATAATTCACATACATGCGGTTGACGATGAAACGCATCCACCTCAGCTAGGAAGTTGCATTTTATCGCGGGAAAAGACGCATAAAGGAGGGGGGAAGAGTACTTGCTTGACAGGTTGAAGTTGTCGGAGCTTGAGGACGTGTACGTGCTCATGTACGAGTTCGAGGAGTTCCTCGCACTCTTCGCGCAGCAAGTCGAAGTAGGTCGGATCCAGGTTCTCCAGGTACTCCCACAAATGACGCTCACAGTAAAGTCGCCTCCAGGAGTCTCCGTGATCCATTGGATCGTTCACCTTCCACCTTAACAACATCTTTCATATACACAGTTGCGTTTCTCGCGAGAGATATTCGCCAGAGGCATGTAATTAAATACTCGACACGAAATTTTAAAACGCTCTGGATTACTTTTCGAGGCTAACTACATTACGTTAAAGCTGAATTTATCATTGCTTATAAATAAACAGTTGACTAATTGAAAGCTTTTAAGGGATCATAAAAATGTAAGGTTTTCCATTAAAGTATATCAAGTGGACAACGGACTATACAAGCATGTAGCAAATAGAGACACGTGTACTAATAGATTAGGTACAGTTAAATCGCAATATAGAAAATTAAAACATGTGAAATTACACAGGAAGGGAGAGTTGTGACTATGGTGCCACACGCGGTTTTCTAGCTAAGCTCAACATGACACCGCAGGTTGTCCGCCCTAATTTGTGCCTGCATATTCATGACATGGAGTTGGTTGCGTGTCAACTGCGATATTTATTGAATTTGCCGTTTTGGCGCGCAGAACATTGAACTATAATGCCCAAGACGCGTGAAGTGGCGAATGCAGAAAGTAAAGGCTATTCGCATGCATTTATTTTAAAATTATGCTATTCTTAGAAATCAATATTGTTTTTATTGCGTATATCATCAATATTGTTTTATTATGTGTATCACTATTTCGATTTGTAAATAAAAAGAAAGGGTGAAAAATAAGAAAAGAAAATAAATAAATAGAAGAAGTAATTTACTTTTTATTCTCAACGATATTTATATCTGAGGAATTTACATATCGCTAAATATGTATTTGTTATTGACAATATCTCTTTTATATTATACTTGTGATACATAAGCACATGCAATTAAATTTAGAAATTATATACTAAAGAGTAATCAGTAACTGTTAGAAGTTTCACAGGTGTATATTTATCGCTCTTTTAATTTTTTAGTTTATCGATTGATATTAAATTTTTATAAGCATGACAATATAACAATAAATAAAATATGATTCTGCAATTTAAATGAATACTTTAAACAAGAATATTAATATAACGATTAGTATTGTGAATAAATTTAATTCCAAGATCCAAATTATTGAAATTATTTTTATAAACTTAAAATTCTTAGTACCTCGTCAATACAATAATATTATTCACTATATTGTGTGCAGTTACAACAGTATCCAGACACGTATAACTGAATTTTCAAAATATATGACATTTTAATGCTATTGAAACTTTTTCAAAGCCCTACATATTTCTAATGTATATGATAAATTCATCTGTTAAATAATAAAATATTAAACATAATTGGTCTAATTCTATACAACATTAATTATTTTTCAATGCGCAATTTTCTCTAATATTATTTTATTAAATATGTAAGATACATCAATATTTGTTAATTTTTAATAGATATTATATAACATGAATTTTTTGGAAATATTATATTATTAGACAAAAAATTTAACGAATAAATGTGAATTACATATTTTGGTTATTTTCATTTTTATTTTTATTATTTCGATATTATAACATTTTAGTTTTTATGAAATTATATAAAGTTTAAACCATTCTAGCATGAAATATTACTTGAATAAACTACATTGAATAAAATACATTAACAATGTCTACATTAAACCTCTCGATTTTCAAAACTCGGAATATTAAAATAAAAACAATTATTTATACGATTGATAAAAGAACTCATTTATTACTAATTATATATTTTCCAATCAAAATCTGTTTGAAATATATTATCGAAATAAAAATATAAAGTTTTCTATAAAAATAAAATATTCTAAAAAATTGTAATTTTTATTTTTTCAATTAAATTATTTCTAAACTTCAGATCAGCATTATGATAAAGTATGTTATTTTTCTTTTTTTCCTTTAAATTAATTGCATCTATTTATATCTAACTTTCACCTAACTTTATATTTATATCTAACTGAAACGATTATTAATAAAAGTTGAATTACATAAAAATAAGTACTCTTCAATATAACGTTCATATAACTTCATTACTAGAATTTTCAATATTCAATATTCAATGAATCATCATGTATTTTTATTTTTAATTGAGATATTGCATCAATTTGTTTTAGTTTTAAAGTTTATTTTATGTATGTACTCTATTATGAAGAAAATTTAATGATATGTTGTTAATTTAACTTTTGATATTATATAAGAAAAATTAATAACCACATACAATGAATAACATATTTCATATAATTGTTTGACTTTAATAATTTTTCCCAATTCATGAAATCATTTAATTCTCTTCAAAAAAATGTATTATATTTAGTTCGTTCTGATACAATAACCCAATAAAAATTAAAAAAGGAAAAATTATAAAAATTACAAATACTTAAAAAAAATTATCTTAATATTTATATTTAGCATTCAAGTTTTTCAAATAATAAATAAGTTTGATTTGTATTTGTTAAATTGAAATTATTTTTTATCCAAGATTCATGCTGTTATAAATTTAGTTTATTATTTAATTCTTTTTACTGATGGTTACAAGAATTTGTAGAAACCTAATAAACACTACTATAATAAATTTTATTTATGTAAATTATTTCACAGAATCAATATATTACCTAAAACCTTAAAAGTTTTTGTTAAAAAAAAGTATTTTATCACTAAATGAAGATTCTTATTGATTCATTTATAATATTTATTAATTCTTATATTAGATTTCTTAAATTAAATTGATTTTGTCCTACCCTTCTTTATGTTTATTTGATTTTACGGCTTCATTTTCTTAAATTTTCATTAAATAAAAGTTGTGTTTTACTTAATCTTTAATTCATCTTTTAAAGAAAAGAACCTTCTTTTGTAAGTTTGTAGTGTATTTTGTTACATATCTTAGAATACTCCAAAAATCTTTTGAATAATTTTTCTAATATACTTAATTAAATTTATTATACTCTTATGATTCTTACTCTCCTTTATGATTCGTCCAATTATTAATATATTTACTAAATAAAGTTCATTTAGCTATGGTTCGTAAATATGCTCGAGTCATATATAGAACAATTATGTTATCATGTTCATGTTTATTTATAAGAGAAGAGATTATTTATTTAATATGCTCAAAAGATTAATTTTCCATTTATTCAAACTAAATACTGTTTAATTTAATATACTATCCACATTCAAAATTATTTACCACTTAAATAAATTGTAGTACTTAATTAAAGCATAGAAAAAAAGTACCTGGCTTCCGCGGCTCTTTGCCAATAGTGCTCGTACTTTATTTTTCGGAAGACGAATTTGAAATCGATGTCTAGGGGCAAAATTTCAATGAGATAATCCCGATCGACACCCGTTGGCAGCTCATCCAAAATCGGATTTTTGCACCAATTGGCTGCAATAACGCGCAGCGCTTGAATTTTGAGGTCTTCGGGTATGCCTACTGTATCCCATTTGTCATCTTCAGCTCGTAGCGTCCGGTCCAGTTCGCCCGGTAACTGCATTGTCTCTTCGGAGCATCTATTCGTCAAACGTCATAGAAAGCTCCGCTTAATAATGGAAATTAGAGCATATTACGAAGGCTTCATAACTCATTACCTTCGTATCAACTTAAAACAGTAAAAGGGGAAAGTGTGTTATATACAATTTCTCGAAATTACAATGTCATTCATGTTTTGATATGTGCTATGAATCTTAAAGTGGTTCTAGAAAGATGATTTTGAAATATAATTTATAATTTAAAATTTTTTAATTATTTTTTTTAAATGCAAAGAACAAGTGCAAGATTACAAACTCAACTTTATATGCATGTTTAGATTATTTAAATGTGAGATATATATGTTGTATATATATATATATACATATTCTTGACAAGTTTATATAATGTTATAAAAGAAATAATGCAAACATAAAAATGCTTAGTTGTTGAAAATATTTCAGTTAATAAAACTGTTCAATAAAAAACTAGTAGGTTCTTACTTAATATTACTACACCAATTATTGTTGTAGATAAAACGTATCTTAAGTTTTCAAGTTTCGCAAAGAATAAAAAGTAGCTTTATCGATAAATTTTACGGTCATATTCTTGTTCTAAGAAAACATTTTCTATGTAGTAACCAAATTTCAATTTGAAGTTAATAAATTATGATTTTTTAATATTTTAAAAATTAAAAATTTAATTAATTTCTTAAAAATCTTTTCTGAATTTAAAAAAAATAGATAATTTTATAAATGTGAAACTTACTTAAGTAAATTTCATTAATAAAATATTTTGCTTCACTATTAATAAATGAATAAATTATTTATATTAAAAAAGTTTTCGGAATGTTTTTAATATTGTTTATAAGATTTCTTTATAAGATTAGATTAGTAATAATAAATAATTAATAAATGTATAATATCTGACAACAATATATCCTACAGTTTCATTTTAAATTGATTTAAATTCAAATATTAATTTAAACTGACTCATCTAAAAAAATTCATAAGTAAAGTTTATAAAATTAATATTCAATATAATTTATTATAAATTAATATTCAATATAATTTATATTTATAAGATATTTCTAGTACATTCTAATAAAAATAATTAAAGTCGGATTTTATAATAAAAAGTTCAGTGTATAATATTAAGCACACTGTATACAATAAAAGTTACATGTGATGCGTCTTCCCAAAAATGAGTTAACTAGCGTAGAAAACCACTTTAAAAGTCTATTATCCAGAATTAATATAGTTAAATCAATAATTAATAGTTTACGATTTTTATTTATGGCTAGAAATATTATAACAGAAAAGGTTTTTCCAGCGCAGACGTTCAGCTCATAATAGTAGGGCACTTCGCAAAAATAATGCGCTTTCACCATTACAGCTTTTCTCATCACCTTCCAATTTGCAAAATCGCTATGAAAGGTAGAATTTCAAAATACATATAATATTATTGCATTAAGAGTCAAACCTAAAAGCCTCGAAAGCTTCAGTCGGCACTGTATGCGGAAGTCTCATGTTCCTCTATTGACCTATCCACTTGTGTCTGTTGCAGGAATGTCCCGAGGGCGTTGTCCACGAGGACTCTTTCAAGGACATCTACGCCAAGTTCTTTCCGCATGGAAGTGAGTATAGGGAGCGCTTAGGCAAAACTCCATCCAGCCGCATTTCCTGCAAGTCCGAGAAGCGGGGGCGATTTTGTCGTGTTACGAATGATTAACGCCCACTTATAAATGGATCACGCAATCATCCTCTCGCACAATGTTTTCTTCTTATTATGTGACAACCTTTGCATATTTCCTAACTCTGCAAGATATTACTGTATTGTATATAAGAAAATGAGCATCTATTAACGATCAATGATAATTAAAAATCATAAGGATTAATTGGTGTCCATTAAATTGTTTATGATATATAAGTATAAACATTTAATTTTCTTATACGTATATGTGTATATGAATAATTCTTATACCTTATAAATTATTTCAATTATTATTTAATGTCCGTAATTTTTGAAAAAGTGAGAATTGATGTAAATAGAGGCGATAATAGAATCTCTTATGGTTATACATACATAACTTAAATTATATAGGAGTAATAATTATATTATTAAAAGAAAGTTTATTTATTTCTTCAAGTTGAATTTTATAAGCCTTTAATAATAATATTTATTTATTTTAGTATACAAGTTCATGAATAAAAATCTATATAATCAACCTTTTTTCGATAAATCATTTCATAATTTTGATTCTGATTTCAACTTTTAGAAATATATCACAATCTTATATTGGTTAAATGAAACATATAAATAAAAAATATACTAAATAAATATTTTAAATACTTACAATCATATTCTTATAAAATTCTTTCTGTCAAACAATTTTCTATTATTTTACTCATGATGATATATATAAAGAATTTGAAAAAAATAGTAGCTGCCATAAAAAACTTAATATGGAGATGAAAAAATAATGTAATAGAGAATGTTTGTATTTTTTATGTTTTATCGAACTCTTCCCCACAATAATTATTTTTTCACTCTAATTGTCTAAAATCCAATATCAATTTATAAAAACTTCACAATACGTTCTATAGTGTAAAATAACACTTGACCAAATACAAAATTGTATATAAAATATAAATTTTTATATTTAGAATATATGAATAAAAATGTAAATTTCTATTTTTTATTCTTCTCATAAACATTAGAGATGAAAGTAGTATATGAATTTGTTATATTAAAAATATTAATATATGAATTTATTAGGCCGAATGTTCAATGAAATACCTTTTTTTCTGAAATAACATTTTCCATTACAAGAAAAAAAAGAAAAAAAAGAATTATGAAGTAACTTTTATATAAAAATTGCATCAGAGAATTGCATTTTCCAATTTTTTCCGTCGCTACACTGTTAGCCATAATACAATTACGTAACGAAATGTTCATCTTTATTTCGAAATTTCAGACTCCAGTCTCTATGCTCACTATGTATTCAAAGCATTCGATGTCAATTGTAATGGCGCTATAAGCTTCAGGGTAAAGTATAGATGGAAAATACATTCATTTCCTCCATTTCCGCTCATTTTTTCTTTTTAAACGAACTTTATAATAATTTCTTTACTTTGATAAGCTGGCTTTTAAAACTTTATTGTAGTTTTTCTTTCTAAGTCGCGTAATTAGATAATAATTTAACAATATATCTATTTTCTTATCATCACATTTATCACTTTACTAAATATACATATCTATTTTAATTATAAATAATTATTCATTATGTTGATAAAAGATAATAAATATAAGATTTTTAAGAGGCTATATATAATAATTAAACAAATAATGATAATATAATTTTATTTTATTATATAGTAAGCATAAATTAATATAACATATTATGTTATGTGTAATAAATTAAAGTGATAATAATGTTAAAAGAATAATTGGAAAGCTGCATTATAACTTTGTATTATGTAATAGAGAGACTATTTTTGCATTTCAATAAAAACGAGATCGTATGATATATCGAATAATATTTTCACGAACCATTTCCACAAATGGTTTTACTTACTCTATCGCATAAAATATTATTATGAAATTATTCAATAATGTCAGCAATAATTTTTTATAGTATTTTTTATACAATTAAAATTTTTTTTGTAATTCAGAATCATACATTTACTTTATCATAAGTATTCAGAAAAAATAATATATTTAATTTTTTTATTTAGATATTATCTATAAAATAAATTAAATGCTTATATAAAGAGCATTTGCAAGAAAGTAACTGTAATAATATCATAACTAGATTAAATTTTATAGACAATAATATAATTGTACATAAATTATACCTCTTATTTAATTTACAAGTAAAAAGTTATAAGAATGCACACTAAATCTCAATACTTTCCTTTATGTAATAATCTATTGCTACATATTAGCCACAAGTTAAATTAAACATTATTATTTGTAGTGAAGTAAACCGAAAGATATAACATTACACTTCCTACAATGAGTTTGTCAAAATATTAAAGTATTCCACAATTTACATTACCGAAAAAATCATAGACTACATATCAACCTACAACCACCCGCGCAATGTTAAAAAGATTTCAGCAAAGAGTATGAACTCTCACGCAGGATCTGTTGGTGACACTGTCGACACTACTACGTGGAAGCATATACGAGAAGCTCAGATGGACATTTAAGCTGTACGATATAAACGGGGATGGCTGCATAAGCCGAGGAGAGCTCGGGGAGGTCGTGACGGCGGTGCACGAGCTCATGGGGCGCAAGCACCGTGAGACAGAGGAGCGTCAAGCACGCGAGCAGCTTGACAGGGTTTTTCGTAAACTCGACCTCAACCAGGATGGCGTTATTACCATTGAGGAGTTCATCGAGAGCTGCCTCAAGGTTGGTAAAATTTGAATTTAACTAATTCTTCGAACAACAGCATTGCTGATAAGGGTCTTGACGCCACGTTGATTCATCCCAATGAGAACGTGTTCGGAAATCGATCCAAGAGGCAACGGGATAATTTTCGTTTATCTCGGCAATTCGATAATTCTCTAACTAGAACGCAATCGCCAATTTCATCACGAATCGGCTTAATTGTCCTACGTTAGACGTAGGAGCGCGATATTATTTACGTGGCTCCTCAACCTATTTAATCTCATTATTGGACAGAATAACGGATGAATTAGAAATTTTGCTCGAATCAAGTTGCCCTTTGACAAATTGACAGGAATAGCCTACATTTTTTTGGTATAATTATAATTTGAATTATAATTTCAATTTTTCATTCACATCTATACCTGAACAAATAAAATCGATAAAAAGAAAAGCATTTTTTATAATCATTTTGGCGGTTAATTGAGATAAAAATAATTTTACTTCACAAAACTATGTAGTAAATGAATTTTTTTAAGTACAATGAAAACATAAATATAATGCTTAAATAAATTATTCAATTTTACATCTTTTGTATCTTTTACATCTTAACAGCAGCTATAGTCACTTTTACATTAAGTATCATTTTATAGATACGTTTCATAGTGTGTATTAGAGACGTCACTTAATGATACTCAAATGAAATTAAATTTCCTTTGTTATCTGAATAAGATTTATACCAAATTATATATGAAAATACAAACGTATTTATTACTAAAAATATGATTCATAATAACGGTATTATCTTATACATATCAATTTGATATATGCATAAAATAAAATAATTACAATGTTCATATTATAAAAGTTTATGTATTACATTATAGAATATACATTAATGATGTAAATTAAAAATATTTACTTCGAACCGTGAAATGGTGATGAGAAAGTAATTTAAATTAGTGATGAGTAAGGAATTTAAATTGAAAACATGAGTCTCGATTAAAATTTGATGAAAATACAATACTTATGTAATATAGATATCTCATATTTGCATATAATTATTAACTCTGATATTAATAGTTGTCGTGTAATTAAACCAAAATAATAAAATTACTTACATTTGAACTGATATATTTTTATGTCAATTTTTATTATAGCATCAGTATAATTATTTTAATGCTATGCAAATATGCATAAATACGTGACTAAAATTGATTTAAATTGATTCAATGATTTACAAGTAGAAATTATCTGTGTATAATATTTAATTATGCACATTATTGTTAGTTAAATTTATCATAACTAATTATTATAACTACAGTTCTTTACGTTATTGTAATATTTATATTATGCATGTTTATTTTTTAGTGCATACATTAGTCTATATTTATTAATATACTTATTGGCCAATTGATCAAATGTTCTGATAATATTGAAATTAAAAACTTTGTGAAAGCCTTGTATAAAAGCAACTTAAGTTGGGCAGAACAGAAAAATTACTACAGCACGCGCAATTACTAAAAACTTAATCCATTACGTTTTGAGTGAGATAGTAAATAAAGAACATTATCGATGAAAGAAAACGATTGAAGATCAAAACCAATGTCCTTCAAATTGATAAAATGTTTGTTAAATTTTTGCCTATAGGATGAGGTAATAACGCGGTCATTGGCAATGTTTGACAGTGAGCTCTGATCTCCGGAGGATGGCGTTCCGAGCGTCAAAAGTCTGAATGCGCATTCGGATCGTGACATGAACTCTGAAAGAGTTCAGGACGAGGAGGATGGGACCTCGGCAGCGGCCTTCAGCAGTAGCCAAGTGGCTCTACAAGGCGTGGCCTCATCTTCGGGAATGTGCAACTCGCATCGAGGTCTTCCGAGCGATATTCTCTCGGCTACGGCAACCTGGTCAACCTTCTCCTCGTCCTCACCCTCACCGCCACCTTATCAGGAGTTCCGACAACGGAGTGCCGCCTCGACGAGCTCCACCACGCAATCATCGCTTCTTTGTTAAAAAACCTCCTGGGATGATCTCGAGGAAGTTTTCGTCTAGACCAAGATTATTTGGTATCGAGGCTTTCACCTTTATCAATTCTGAACAGACGAATGCTTTTCTCGACGTCACCACCTATTCGATCTCATTCGAATTTTTCGTGTTTTTTCAGTTTTATCGAGCGCAGCCTCGCGTACCTGAAAAGAGGTTAATGTGAAAATGAAATAAATAACATGTATTCCTGTTATGTTGGAGTT